CTAGTTAATTACTAGTAATATTCAAGATTTGTCTTCTGGCAGGTTAAAAAAGTTTATTTAGATATATTGCCCTCCCCATCGATTTCTATGCTGGCGACCTTAAGAACTATGGATTTTGCCTATAATGTGCTCTTGTATGGCTCCCTAGACTGAACTTGGTCTTAATTACCCTTTGGCATGTGTGACAGTAGGTTCGGCTAGGCGAGTTGTAGGTACGCGTCGAAGGGCTTAGGTCTCTCTTAACGCAATTGGTGTTTTAAGTCTAGAGTTTGGAGGCGGCTTTCCTCAAACGATTTAATTCTTTTAAGGATGGTATATCGCCAAGATGACCTTTTTGCAACAAGCTCCTCCTAACACTCTGGGCTTATACGGAATTGGCGAATGAGGAAATTGACGAACTTTTTCGAATACCAAAATTTTTGAAGGAGCATCCAAAGTGCCTCGCATAGAACTCAATCTAGGCTGTTGATGTTCAATGATTTTTTCTGAAGTTGCTTGTTAACAGAAATAGCATCAATGGTTCCTCTGCCAGGTCAGAAACCACATTGACTCTCTAGGAGGTATTGTTCATCTAACTCATTAAGGCGGGTATGAATGATGTGCGCTATGCGAGTACCTTATTGTCGCTGGAGAGAAGTGGTACGCGTCGGCAACGTATTTGTACCCAGAGCTGCAATCGAAGACATTTCCCTTTCCTTTGCCTACAGCTTACTAATAACAGCATACCTCCAGTCCTGAGGCAGTTTTTCCCTCTTCCACACTCTTAGAACAAGATTGTAGAGCACGTTAACAGTGTGTTTTCCAAAGTAATTGTATATTTCAGCTGGAAAAAGGTCTACTCCGGGTGTTTCGGAGTTCTGAAGACGCTTTACTGCCTTCACAAAGTCTTCAACAGTTAGTGGGTCATCTAAACGTTAGCAGAGTGGCAATTCTTTCAGCGAGTTTATATAAACCAGGTTAGCACTAAGGACATTGGGACTTAAAACACCATTAAAGTCTTCAACTCATCACTTTTATATAACTTCTTTACCTGTAATTCGATGTTGCCTGTCATTCGAATGAATTGGAGCTGTTTTTCTAACTAGTGAACTGAGAGTAGCTCGTAAACCTTCAAAAAAAAAAAAAAAACGAGTGTACTTATGACCACACGACTGACGTAAAATTTCTTTAGCACGATCTCATCTGATAATTTTCTACACATATTTAAATTTATTATTGGCTTCCTTCCATAATTTGTTCACCCGAAAATACACAAAACACGCACTTTAAAATGAATTTAAAATTTTATTCAGTTTAAACGTAGAATATTTAATCGTATTGAACGAATTTGTTACCAAACTTACTACGGATGCGTGCTAGTGGTGGTACGGGTGCTCACCGCTCTCTGCCTGTCGCAGTCAAGGTGAATTCGTAGGGAAAGAGGCTCTAAATGAGGTACTTTTACTATTTTTACTTTCTAATTAAAAACATTCTGAGTCAGTGAACTATTCAATACGTCATTTTCTTTATTTGAATTGTAAACTTCTTTTTTAATATTTTAAACACAACTTAGGTCAAAATTATAAATATATGTTTCCCGATTTTTAAGTAATCTTCATATATCAACAATAGAAATACATATTCTCACCACATATTAATTGAGTTGCTTTCTTATTTATTTATATGTAAATGAATCATGAATATATTCGGTATAAATTTTGAATTTGATTTAAACTAGTTTCTCAATGAGTTAGAGACTTTAAAATTTAAAAGAGGTAAGAGCTGGATAACAATGCAATATGAACTCTCTTGTTTGTTTGTTAGGTACAAATTTAGCAATCGATTTTAAACTAACTTCCCATGAGCTAGAGATTTGAAATTTTAAATACGGCTCCAAACTTGAAACGTATTAGAAATGGTTGCCATTTTGAATTACAATCATATTCTACTTGCTACGGATCCGTATGACATTAATTTTCTAAATTGCCGCTTATTTAACTTATTTAAAAAATACTCTAATTGCTTAATACTTTACTGTAATTACGAATTAGTGCACACCGCACCGCGTCCCACTCCATGTCATTAAAAATTCAGCCAGGTGTGACTTGGAACGATATTAAGCATAAACTTTTATTTTTATTAATAAAAAGCTAACGACGAAATTTTTGCTTTTCAATGTTTCGAGCTTAAACACAATTTATTTATAGAGTTATATAGTGAAATAAAATTGATGTGTTTGTTTGGAATGTTAATTTCAAAACAAAAGCTTTCTACTAAATGAGTATGAAGTATGAACGGTAGTAAAAAAAAAAATGTTTAAAATTTTTGATTGTTTTTCTGTCTCTATATTACGGCTAATCTCCAAAATGGCTAAACCGATTTTAATGAGACATTCATTGGCAGGTGGCTGATGTTATAAAGATTAACTTCGGCTACTTTTATTTTCAAAAAATAATAAGGTTTCCTGCGAAAAAAAAATCTAAACCTATGAAATTCCATCTCCTGTTTTATTTTTCCTCTATCATGCTGCGACACCCAAGGAACGAAGATATAGTAAATTTACAGCCTATATATGTATGTCAATTTCAGGGCACTACCTCAGTAAAGTAAGGTAAAGTTACAGCCTATATACGTCCCACTGCTGGGAACAGGCCTCCCTTCATTTCTGAGAGGGTTTTTTTCTTATTCCTCAGACATGCAGGTTTTCTCACGATGTTTTCCTTCACCGCCAAGTACGTGGTAAATCAGCACTTAAAATTGCAATTAACATTTTCATTGGTGCCGGCGGGGTCGAACTCAGGTTACTCGCGCTCTATTATGTTTACAGCGAGCGTTAACCATCTGAGCTACCACGGCTCTCACGAAGATATAGGGTAGTGGATATTCTTGCACCGCCAGTACATGGTGACGCAACTTAATACGGAAAGTATTTTTTTATAAAAAATAAGTGATAAACGAATTTTTAGTCTATATGATGGAATACCTCACAGCTCTCTATATGCTTAAGGTCCGAGAACAGCGGTGCCAGCAGTGCTATTTGACGACAGAAACAGGTAAAACATGATGGCATTACCACCAATTAAAAAACAATTATCATATTATATTAAGTTTTTGCCTTTTACGAGTGTAGCTTTTAATTTATTCTTTTAAAATAAATCTTAAACAGTTCAAAAAGTTTACTTACTTAATATTTAAAAATCATTCCGCTGAATAGATATTATATTTCATGTATGGAGGACGTGCACTTACATAAAACAATTCTAGCCTTCACACTTTAAGTTAGGGGTTCTGTGGTTTCGGACAGACTAATTGAAATATTTCGCTTGCGTCGTAAAACATAAGTTAGGAGTGAAATTAATTATTCAGGGGGTTTATTTCGAAAATTATTTAAAACCCACGGGAATGTTGCAGAGCAAGTAATATAAAACATGTTCGTGGGCTGTAAAGGAATAACGAGGGTGTTTTAATGAGGATTAGGTTTATTTTTTTCTGTATAAGGGAGCTCAATTATAATGAAAAAATCTTTAATAGATTATCTAAATTGAATCATATTCTTATTTATAGAACATGGTGGTAGAACCTCCCTTCTTAGTAAAAGTAAAGTTAACTATTTCTGTCACCAAATAGCAGTGCCCGAAGTACTGTGTTTTTTAGTCTCAAGGGTATGCATAATCAGTATAATTGTATGTCGAGACACATTTTATCTTTATCATCAAAGTTTACATGCATCAGTAGCCTACCTTGTTTGAAGTTAGTTTCAGATGTCCATGGACTGCAGTAATTACTTTTTTATGGAATAAGGGTGATAAACGAGCATACAGTCCACACATAATGGCATCATAGACATTGATCTGATATATTTCGTTCCAATATATAAAAACCAATTTTATCACCTAATAACGGAACAGAAAATCAAAACACTCATCTTTTATATATATTCTTGACTCATCTTTTATATATATTCTATAATGTCCTCTCAATGCGCCTCTAATGTAAACATTAAACTCAAAATTGCCCTACAGAAGAAAGGTCACTGATAAACGACGCGAAGATAAAGTATGTGGAACAATGTGGAATAAACATTAGAATAAGGCATTTTTTCATGTACAGATATTTGCACCACTGGTCTCATTTCTGTAAAGTAAAGTAAAGTAAAGTTACAGTCTATATACGTCCCACTGCTGGGCTCAGGCCTCCCCTCATTTCTGAGAGGGTTTAGGGCGAGGAAGTGTCCGCCGCGCTGCCCAAATGCGTGTTGACGAACTTCACATGTCTTGGAAATATTTTTTTTTCTTATTCCTCAGACATGCAGGTTTCCTCACGATGTTTTCCTTCACCGCCGAGCACGTGGTAAATCAGCACTTAAAATTGCAATTAACAATTTCATTGGTGCCGGCGGGGATCGAACCCGGGTTACTCGCGCTCTGTTATATTTACAGCGAGCGTTAACCACTGAGCTACCACGGCTCCTCTGTCTCATTTCTGTATTATAATCAAATTAAAGAAATTTTGTACATTCTTTAAATTTCTCCATATGCTTTATAAGAAATGTAATTCGACCATGAATGTTTACAGAATTTGTCATACGACAATAGGGAAGGAAGTTTCTGATTATTTTCAGTTAACTTATGGTTTTATAATTCTTTATTAACACGTTAAACGCCATTATAGAAAAAAGTTTTTTGTAAAAAAAACTTGTAATTTATGTATTTAATCAAGATATGTATGTATACTGTTTTTCATAAGAATCTGCCATAGTGTTCCGTAAATATAACAAAAAAAACCCTTGAGGTCACCGGTGCCCCCCATGGCGCTATAAAGTAATAAAAATAGTTTCCGTTACGAAGGCGCCACGCCGGTCACCGCGTCGGCCACTCACCCGCTCAGTACTGCGCTAGCGCCCGTGAAGAGAAAACGTGAGTGTTCTATGTTGCTGTAATACTTTAAGTCAAGTACTTAATTAGTGTGATATTGTGTGCAGTGAACTTCAATATTATGAACATTGCAATAAATAATTAAAAATGGAAATATTTAGCAGTAAAAATTTTGAAGAAATACAGGTGGACATGGAAGATTTTGATTTTACACAGGAAGATTTGCGGGCATTAACATTACTCGATACTAGCATTATACAGCAGAATGAACAAGATAATCAATCTCATCTAGAGTTGTCGGATTCAAACGAAGAACAGTTACATATTCCGAAAAAACGAAGACGTTTAATCATCCAAAGCGACAGTGAGAGTGAGTCTGATTCCGTTCGAAATTATGTGACAGCCAATATTACCGCCTCAGATCGTGTGTCAAAGAAATGGTCACGCCCTAGGCGTCAACAACCATCTATTATACCATTTACCGAAACTTCAAGTATGAACAAAGAATTTTCTACTATATTAAAAGAAGCAGACCCGGGAGCTTTTTATAGTCTTTTAGTGTCTGATGAAATTTTCGATATGATTGTAGAGCAGACCAACTTATTCGCCTTACAATCCTGCGAATCGAGAAATGTAAAACCTTCATCAAGATCTCATGCTTGGAAGCCAACAGACAGACATAAAATTAAACGTTTCTTTGGACTTATCCTATACATGGGTCTTGTGAGACTCCCAAAGTTAAGCTATTACTGGAGCAAAGATAAAATCTTAGGACAGACATTTCCACGTACCGTCATGAGCCGCAATAGATTCGAAATAATCCTACAGTACCTACATTTAGTGATAATGAAACCGCAAATAAATCTGATCGAATCTCTAAGATAAGACCGATTATAGATATGGTCAATAATACGTTTCAAAAGTATTATTCACCGAAAGAAGACATCTGTGTCGACGAAAGTCAGGTTCCATTCAGAGGGCGGATTGTATTTAGACAATACAATAAAAGTAAACGCCATAAATATGGTTTAAAGCTATTCAAACTATGTACTATTCCCGGGTACACCTGCAAATTTTTGTTGTATGGCGCTAAAAATATCGATACCGTAAACACTACGCCTACATCAGTGGTAATGTCTGTTTGTAGCCAAATATTAAACAAAGGCCACACTTTGGCAACTGATAATTGGTACACCAGCTTAGAGTTGGCTTACAATTTACTGGAACATCAAACGCACTTGATTGGGACTATTAGGAAAAACCGAAGAGGTTTACCTAAGGATGTAGTAGAAGCCAAACTTCAAAAGGGAGAGTTCATGGCCATGGAAAACGAGGATGGTATAACAATTTTAAAATGGAAAGATAAGCGGGACGTGATGATGCTTTCTACTAAACATTCTGATAAAATGTCAACAATCGCCAAAAAAGGGCAAACAGATTACTAAGCCGAAAGTGATTTTAGATTATAATAAGTCAAAAGGATCTGTCGATATGAGCGACCAAATGTCGTCGTATTCTTCTCCCTTACGTAAAACTGTTAAGTGGTACCGGAAACTTGGTATTGAGATTTTGTTGAATACTGCCGTAGTAAATGCATGGATTATGTTTACCGAAACTAGGAACACAAAAATGTCAATCGTAGAGTTTCGGAAATCTCTAGTAGACTATCTAACAAGCTCGTCAGATTCTCAGCAGACTAAGTCAGGAGTAACGGTATCAAGACCCAAACGTTTGAAGCACGAGTTGCTAACAAAAACTGGGACAGTGAGAAATACTAGACGATTTTGTGTACACTGTTACAAAGATATGGTAAAGCAGTTTGGACGAAAATTGGCGAAAAATAAAGCTAAAAAGGTTAATACTTTTTGCGCTCAATGTGATGGAAACCCACATATCTGTTTATCCTGTTTTAATAAGATCCATCGTTATGTTTAGTTCTTTCTAGTCAATTATTGATTTAATTTTTTCTGATTGCATTTTTATTTCAATGGTAATTTTTGTAGCATTTCCTGGATTTTTTCCTGTGTAAGAAGACATTTTTTTTAATAATGTGCATTGTAATAGCTTTAAGATTTAATGTGATTAAAAGTCATGTATCATGAAATTAGTCGCTTTTTTATTTTACCTTAAGGATATTGTACATATTTCCTAAAATTTTCTAAGTAGCCACGTCCCCTTGAAAAGGATTACTCTATAGCGCCAAAGCAGTAACTCGCATACACGAAATGTACGACACGTGTGACCGGCGGCCCAAAAATACATTTCGAATATGCCTCTCGCTTGAGGTAACCGGTGACCCCCATGGCGCAATAAAGTAAACCAGATGAGGTCACCGGTGACCCCCATGGCGTTCAACGTGTTAAGAAATACCCTAAGTACTGGTAAACTTCAATTTTATATTGGAAACAAAAAGTATTTGATATGATATATTATTTTAGTTTTTTTTATTATTGTACTTTTTTATTATTGATCTTGATCAGAATTCCACCTGATGGTAACAAGTTTCGAAGCCCTAGATGCATGCTTTGCCTTTGCGCAATAAAAGCCTGTACATTCTTGTCTTGATGATGTCCATATTGTATTCGGACGGAAAGACAGAAGCTGGCAAATTATTCCACTACTTTGCTGTACGCATTACAAAAGATGAAGCAAAACGTTTGGTTCTAATGCGTGGAATATAAGGGATGATAAAAAATAAAAATATAAATTTCTTCGCAACCTTCCGCCAAACAAATAAAATGATGTGTCTTACCTGGATTGAAGAGCACCTCCCGCCCTCCCTCAATTGCATGCACTAACTCCGTCACCACTACTCCCAGCACCACTACTCCCAACACCACTATTCCAGGCAAGACACACCATCGACGATAATACGACACGTGTTTCACCTCTACACGGGGCATCTTCAGGTAATGTAGACTCCTCGGCGGCTGACCGCTAAGACAATGACTTAGCGTAAAAGTCAAATCAAAGTCAAAGCCGCTAAATAAGTCAATATCGTAAGACGCATCCAAAAATTTCCATATCATCGTTTTATTTTAAATAACTTTTAAATTCTTCGACGTATCAACTCAAGACCTGATAAACAATTTTGTGCACTTACAAAACTGCGTCGAATGACGCCAAATAGTTCAAAATCGAACGAGGTAGCGTTTCAAGCTGGAAAAAAGCGGGAATTTCTAGGGTTCACCTACAGGTCAATCGCTTTTTTTCTAGGATGAAGGTGACAAACTAGCACACAGTCCACTTGACAATAAGTGGTTGCAGTGGCCCATAAACTTCTACATCCATCCTCAATTACGATTATAAGAATAAGAAATGTTTATTCAGTTACAAAAGTACACAGATAATGACTTAGTTACTGTAATGTTAAATATTTTATAATTATTTAAAAAAATTAAATTTTTTTAAATAATTTCCAACAGTATCACTGGGATCCACACTAGGATTCCCTGTGTCTTGGAGAACAGTCTTCCTATTTATCTAGATCTTAATGATTAGCCTTAGAATCAAAATGCAGATGCGTTGTCATTAGGGAGTACTAAGACAGAATGCCTCATTTCCAGTAAAATGTGTCTCCGGTTTTCTACACTCACCATATGAATAATTAAATAAACCTACTAAATAATTAAATTACAACGAAAGATATTTTTGCATTGAATAGATACAGGTAAATGTTGTGTATTTGATTTTATCTTTTAGAATTTAAGATTTTTGCTCATTACACAAAAATAAAATCTGATGTTTTATAAGCTTGGACGAGATCACTATCATCATCATGACAGCCCTTCACAAGTCAACTGCTGAACATGGACCTATCATAAGGACTGCCACAAAGCACATTCCCATCATCTGTATTCATCGACTTCTTGCATCTCTTTTAGGCTACCTCTTCATCTAGTGGGGGCCACCTAACACTCCGCTTACCGGTTGAGGCTGCCACTCGATACCTTATAAAATTAAAGTCATACAAAAGTTCATTCTAATCCTTATTTATATATATGCATACATGTACAATATTCAAAACACAAGAAAATAAAGAGCCATCCAAAAAGTCGTTAAAGCATGGAACTAACTGCCTTCAGATGTGATTTCTGTACAGAACGTTAAACAATTTAAGAACGGATTGGACAGAAAATTAAAACAGAACAATTACACTTAACTACATTAGCCAACTGCCTGAGGAAGTCTCTAATTGTTCATTCAAACTTATATAGCTCAAGGACCCTCTTCTGTCACCGGCACTGCGTCTTTATGAGGCACCGAGTTGAATGCCTTACTGTAGTGTATACAGGCGGAGTAGGAGAAGTTTTGACTGTTGCACTGAATTACCTTGCCAAAAACCGCGTCAATGAGGAGTGGTTCCTTGGTAGTGTAGTGTGGCCCCAACGTTAATATACATTAGTATTAAGTTAGAATAATTAAGCATTATAATTTAATTTTTAATACCAACAACACGTCCCCTTCATTGACACATTTCATACACTACATGACGACCCTGCCAGCAGCACACTGCGCTGCTGAAATGCAAACGAACCGCCGGGTTCTAAATATAGAAAAAAAATAAAGGGAAATAATTAAAGCAATTTAAATATATTAAAATATTATATTATGTGACAAGAAAATGACAAAGACGAGAAGAGGCCACAATAATATTTTTAGAACCTGACTCAAAAATGAAAACTGGCAAATTAATTGATAAGGGAAGTTGTATTTTAGCAAACATCACCCAGAAGAAAGTGAAATTTGAGCCGAAAAGAACAAAGAAGAAATTAAGAGGTAACTTTGCACCCGTGCGATTTTAATTCTATTTAAAACTTTATCTATCAATTTAAGGTTGTTTTATGTTCTTTTCGTTATTACACTTTTTAAATTTATGTATTATTTATTCTGTATTTAATATTATATAATTAAGTTGTTAACGATTCAGTAGCTTTTTTAAATTACAAATACACTAATACACTTCTATTAATGCAAAAGTCGGTTTTATATTCCCTTTAATTCAGTTATTGTTTTATAGTCATTTTATTACCATAAATTAGTATTGAAAAAAAATGATATATTCCATTTTTATATACCATTTTATATACCATTCGAATTCATGTCAATAAAAATTTTCATATTTTGTTGTGGTAACATCAGCAATAGTTTAGTTATAAAAATAGTAATAGTAATAGATTCCGTTGTTTTTTTTTTTTTGGTAGCAATTTTCATTCAAATGTATGCAATTTTGACAAAGGTCAACAAATGATTCGCTATTGTTATATCCTTAGTATCGTACCTTTGTATAAACATAAGCAAATGTCTCGAGATACATAATATGATAATATGACATACATCAGTCAAATCAGTTAAAAGATACGCGACTAACAAAACTAATCACTAATTAAAAAGGTAAAATTAGTTATAACTATATATTTTTAACCATTTATTGTTCAGTTATCATCGCATATAAGAAAAAAATTCTAAGACATGTGGAGTTCGCCAACACGCACTCGGACAGCGCGGTGGACACTTCCTTACCCCAAAACCCTCTCAGAATTGAGGGTGGCATGTGCCCAGCAGTGGGATGTATATAGGCTGTAAATATCACCTCATCACTCTATCATCTCACACTCATCACACTATTTGAAAAAAGCAGTAAAGGTTTAGCCTATATTTCCTACTTTTGTGCGAGCATTGTGTTTATAGTTGTAAGCCCGACTGCTGATCATTAGGTTCCGGGTACGAATCCCAGGTCGGGCAGTATTTTACCTACGTGCATCAGAAAGTACGTAAATGCGTAAGCCATTTTTGATCTCCGACGATTGTGTATCTGCGGTTGTACAGTGTCCGTATTGTGTATAAAATATTTATCTGTATTTAGCGTATAAAATATATACTGG